CCAGTACCAGCTGAGGGGACTGGGACACTACCGCTGGGCTGTACCCTGCATGTTGGGGACATAGTCTCCCAGGGAAGCTCCCAGGTTCAGGCCCAGTGGCAGCTGGAGCAGGGCCCTCCAACAACCCAGCCCACACACCAGCCCCACCCTGGGGCTGCCACTGCACCCTGGGAAACAGCGGGGATTGTCGGTCACTTTTTACTGCACTTTCTGTGGTTCTGAGCAGACTGTGGAGCCAGTCTGCCTGAGTTCAGATCCTGCCATGGACTGGCTGTGTGACCTTGGGAGGTTCCTTAATGTCTTTGTGCCTCAGTTTCTTTCTTTTTTTTTGAGATGAAGTTTTGTTCTTGTTGCACAGGCTGGAGCGCAACGGTGTGATCTTGGCTCAACCTCCGCCTCCCAGGTTCAAGCGATTCTCCTGCCTCAGCCTCCTGAGTAGCTGGGATTACAGGCATGCGCCACCACACCTGGCTAATTTTTGTATTTTTAGTAGAGATGGGGTTTTACCATGTTGGTCAGGCTGGTCTTGAACTCCTGACCTCGTGATCCACCTGCCCCGGCCTCCCAAAGTGCTGGGATTACAGGCATGAGCCACTGTGCTTGGCCTGCCTCAGTTTCTCCATTTGTAAAATAGATTTAAAACTAGTAACTGTTTCATGGGGTTATTGTGGGGATGAAGGGATTAATGTGTTTAAAACTGTTGGATAGTGCTAACACAGAGCAGCATTCTGAAAGTTAGCTGTCATTTTTATTTCTCCTGTGATTATTATGACATCCCACTGGACTGCACACTCCTTGGGGCCATGAGTGAGTGAATACATGAATGAACAGTGTGTGTTCTGGAAGCTCTTTGGTAACACATGCAGATGCGTGCTCTCACACGTGTTGCTGTGGAACAGGTCCAGGGAAGATGAGGCTCTCCAGGGGAAGGCAGGTGGGGTGAGGAGTGGCCGAGGGTTGGGTAGGTGTACAACCCATGTGTGAGCGCACCCAGGGAAGGCTGAGGCTTTCGGGAGAGTCTTTGTGGGCGTGTGCATGGGCACGTGGGCCCCAGCACAGACACGTGAGCAACCAGCTGTGCTGGCTCCTTTCATGAGTTGTGGGGATGACGTCCTGTCCCAGGCAACAGGGGAGGAAGGGTGGCCAGGAAACAGATGTGGTATGGGTTAGAAGAGTAAGATTCAGGTCTAGGCCAGGGTAGGGCAGGGTCCTGGTCAAGCTCCCTCTCCATCCCTCACCCTGCCCTCTTTCTTGGACTCTGCCTCTGACCCAGGCCTGAGCCCTCTATAAAACCTCATTTATATTTCTCACTTGACGCTCATGGCAGCCTGTACAATGGGCATGATCATCAAACCCATTTTAGTCACCAGGGAGCTTAGGCTTAGAGAGGAGAACGGATGGGGCCAAGGTCCCACAGCTTGTGAGTGGCAAGACTGGGTGGAGAGGTCAACCCAGTGTCTCTTCCCTGGCCACCCCACCTGGGCCCCTCCCTGTCCTTCCCCATGCTGTAGGCCTCCAGCATCTGGCCTCCTGTCTCAGCTCCAGGTTTGTGATGACCCCTCTCTGAGCCCTTCCCCCCGTTCACTACCGCTCTATCCTGTTCTGGCTCCTGCCCAGGCCCCAGGGTGGCTTAAGACCTGGGGAGCTGGGCAGCCCAGCCCAGCACAAACAGTTCTGTCTCCAGAGACAGCTGTAGGCCGCACCCAAGAGAGACTAGACAGCCCTGGCTTGGGCCTGGGCAGTGGGCAGGCTGCCTTCCCAGCCCTGACTCAGGTCCATCTATGGGTAACTGGTGGGCATCTTGGGGAAGGGGTCTGAGGACTGTCCTCTTCCCCACGCTCTCCAGCAGCATCTGGTTGCTATTAGGGGCAGAGAAGTGAGAGGGGGCCGGCAAGGGTCCAGTAGGCGCCAGTAGCCAAGAATGACTTAATTGGATACAATGTCTAATGACAAAGCAAAGCCCCACAGCAGAGCTCTGGCCTCAGCCCCAGGCCTGGGCCTGGCCAAGCCTGGTCTCAACCTCTGTCCTTGCTAGCTCCCAGGAGCTACCCTTAGCATTCCTCCTCAGTTCTTCGGTGACGGAGCACCTGCTGTGCTGGGCATGGCAAATTTGAAGAAGGTGGAGAGAATCCTGGGGGAGCTCAAGTCGACCAGGGAGATGGGCCATAGTCGCATGGGTAGGTGCTCTAGGAGAGGGACAGCCACATCCAGGAGCTCCGGGGAGTGGGGTGGGGAAGGCAGAGGTTGAAACAGGTATCCGACACAGGGTGGGCCTGAAATGGATAAGGGTCGAAGGTGGGGAATATCAGATCTACCTATCTGATGGTTTTCATATGTACATATACACATCCATATATATACACATACATACATCTCATATATACACCCATAGCAGGTGTGACCATTAGAATGACAATATAAGGCCCAGCCTTTTGGGGGCATAAATGTTTCTGAAATTGAAAAGGATGGTTTTTGTGTTATTTATTTATTTCAACATGAAATTTCGCTTTTTTGCCCAGGCTGTAGTGCAGTGGCACAATCTCAGATCACTACAATCTTTGTCTCCTGGGTTCAAGCAATTCTCCTGCCTCAGCCTCCCGAGTAGCTGGGATTATAGGTGCCCACCACCATGCCTACCTAATTTTTGTATTTTTAGTAGAGACGGGGTTTCACCATGTTGGCCAGGTTGGTCTTGAACTCCTGACCTCAGGTGATCCACCCGTCTCGGCCTCCCAAAGTGCTGGGATTACAGGTATGAGTCACCGCGCCTAGTGTTTTGTGTCATTTAGAACTAATTTCACAGACCTGGAGCAGTGGCTTATGCTTATAATCCTAGCACTTTGGGAGGCCAAGGTGGTAGGACTGCTTGAGCCCAGGAGTTCAAGGGCAGTGTGGGCAACATGGCAAAACTCAGCCTCTACAAAAAAAAAAAAAAAAAAAAAAAAATTAGCCAGGTGTGGTGGCAAGCAACTGTAGTCCCAGCTACTTGGAAGGCTGAGGTGGGAGGATTGCTTGAGTCTGAGAGGTCGAGGCTACAGTGAGCTGTGATTGTGCCACTGCACTCCAGCCTGGGTGCTAGAGTGAGACCCTGTCTCAAAAAAAAGCACTCATTTAGCAAGGTAGAGGGAACTGGAGAGGAGATCATGGAACCTAGGAATGGCTGCAAAATGGCCTGTGTTTAGTCACTTTCCAATCCTGTGCTCTGGCAGACATTGCTAATTGATCTTGACAGTCCTTCCTGCTAAACAGAAGAGGAGCCTTCGAATTCTCAATTGAGTTCCTGTGGCCATCACGAATGGATTGGAGACGGCATATGATATGAAACCCGTTTGCCATCCTAGACAGTGTCCAGGTAGTGATAGGAGTCAAACAGTGGTTCTCAATGGGGCAAGGGAGGGGCAATTTTGTTCCCTGGGGATATTTGGCAATGTTTGGAGACATTTTTCATTGTCACAACCTGGGATGGGGAGGGGCGTGGCTGTGTTGGCATTTAGTGAGCAGAGGCCGAGGCTGCTGCTAAACATCTTACAGAGCACTGAACAATTCCCGCATAGCTGAATTATCCAGTCCAACCAACAACCCGATTTAAAAACGAGCAAAAGACTTAACTAGACGTTTCTCCAAAGAAGAGATACAAGTGGCCCACGAGCACATGGACAGATGCTTGGCATCACTTGTCATTAGGGAAGTGCCAATTTACAAAAACAACAGTGAGATACTACCTCACACCCGTTAGGATGGCTACTCTAAAAAACAGAAAATAATAAGCATTGGCAAGAATGTGGAGAGATCAGAACCCGTGCGCATGGTTGGTGGGAATGTAAAATGGTCCAGTCATTTTACTTGGAAAACAGTGATTCCTCAAAAAATTAGAATTAGAATTACCATATGAGCCAGCGACTCCACTTCTGGGTTTATACCGAAAAGAACTGCAGGCCAGGTCTCAAAGAGACATTGGTGCCCCCATGTTTGTAGCAGCGTTGTTCACAATAGCTAAAGTGGAAGCCAGACAGGCGTCCATTGACAGATGAATGGAAGCAAACTGAGGTCTATCCACACAATAGAATATTGTTCAGTCTTCAAAAGGGAGTAAATTCTGCCCTATGCTAAGACATGAATGAGCCTTGAATTTATTATGCTAAGTGAAATAAGCCAATCACAAAAGACAAATATAGTATGATTCCATTTATATGAGATATTTATAGTAGTCAAATCATCCATATAGGCTGGGGGTGCAGTGGCTCACATCTGTAATCCCAGCACTTTGAGAGCCAAGGTGGGAAAATTGCTTGAGACCAGAAATTCAAGACCAACCACCCTGAACAACATAGTGAGACCCTGCCTTTACAAAAAGTAAAGAGACTAGCTGGGCTTGGTGGTGCATGCCTATAGTCCCAGCTACTTAGGAGGCTGAGGTGAGAGGATCACATGAGCCCGGCAGTTGGAGACTGCGGTGAGCAATGATCGTACCACTACCCTCCAGCCTGGGTGACAGAGCAAGACCTCATCTCTCTCTCTCTCTCTCTCTTTTTTTTTTTTTTTGAGGCAGAGTTTCATTCTTATTGCCTGGGCTGGAGTGCAATGGCACAATCTCAGCTCACTGCAACCTCTGCCTCCCGGGTACAAGTGATTCTCCTGCCTCAGACTCCCGAGTAGCTGGGGTTATAGGTATGTGCCACCACGTCCAGCTAATTTTTGTATTTTTAGTAGAGACGGGGTTTCATCATGTTGGTCAGGCCGGTCTTGAACTCCTGACCAGGAGAGCATCCTGTGTACTGCGGAGAGCTGGTGTGAGGATTAAAAGGATATATGTGAAGTGCCTGGCCTGGATCTGGGCACCTGACTCACTACTTGTTGGGTGTCTCCTGTCCTGGTGGTCAAGTGTCTGCAAAGTCGACAACGGCATAGTGTGGGGGTCCTTGCGGGATTCCTGGGCTGGTTTCCCCTCCCGATCTTCATTCTGGACTGCTGGCACTCAGGTTTCTGTCCCCTTCTCCCAGGTCACGATGAGGGCCCAGGCTCTGGATGGGCTGCCAAGGGGACCGTGCGGGGCTGGAACCGGAGAGCCCGAGAGAGCCCTGGGCTAGCGTCAGAGCCAGACAGGACCCAGCTGAGCCAGGACCTGGGTGGGGGCACCCTGGCCATGGACACACTGCCAGATAACAGGACCAGGGTGATGGTGAGTGCCGGAGGAATGGGAGGGAGCAGTAGGGGTGGGGGAGGTCTCAGAAGATGCCCGAGGGACGCTTGTCTTACCTGCAAATCATGTATCATTTGGGGTTGGCCCTGGAGGTCAGGGTGGAGAAAAGACTCCCAGGGGTGGGGGTGGAAGCAGGGCCCAGACTGGGTCATAAAATCACAGCATCTCAGCGTTTCATAAGCTGCCTACTCCCTCCTGGGCACAGAGACATCAAATGGCTTGTACCAGGATGCACAGCCTGGCCATGGTGTTCCTGACCCTGGACTTGCCCATGACTCAGGGAAGAAAAAGCTGACGGTGGCATTGTTAGTCACATCTCAGCTGCCAGATGGGGCCCTTCCCCACCCCATTTCTGCCCCATCTATAGACTGGGGCGCAAGAGGATTAATGGCTGCTTAGCCTAAGGGCTGGGCACTCAGCAGGGGGCTGAGTAGAGAAAGCAGTTAGGGTACAGCTCCTGAGACAACCTCCCCGCCCTGGCCCAGGGCGGTTCTGGGGTGCTGGCGCAGGAGGAGAGGCCTGGAGGAAGTGCTCTCCTCTCAGCGTTTCCGGAGGCTCCTGGAGGCCTCGGTGTGTTTGGGGTGAATCTGAGAATACTTGTCCATTTCTGGGAATGGACGTATGTGTCGTGGACGCTGGGGTAGCTCCAGTGCCAGAGGATTTTATGTATTACCTGTGTGTACCTGTCTGTCACTATGGGCTGTTTGTGGGTGTTTGTGACGAGCGTGTGCGAGTGTGAGTGTGCCCGTGGCTGTGTGTAGGTGCCTGTGGCTGGGAGTGACAAGGGTGGATTCTTGGGACGCAAGAAGCAACAAGAGGACCTGCTTCTCAGTATAGATTTCTTTATTTTATGTTTTAATAACTATTTTCTTAAATTAGCATGTGCAGATAGCTAAAAAAAAAAAGGTTAAATAGTGCTAAAATCATAAAACAGAGGTCCCGCCCCTCCTCTCCCCTGGGGCCCAGCCCCTCCCCTTTCTCAGAAGGCTCTGCCTGGGCTGTTTCTACTGGAGTTTGCTCCCGTATTTCCAAGTGACTTGCTTTTCCTGTACTGCTACCTCTGTATTCACCGGGTTTAGGCCTTCCCTGCTCAGGGACATTCGGCTTGTGTACTCCCTGGGAGCAGCCTTTCACTCTGCGGCTCAGTCTTCCTGCTCAATCCATGCGCTTGGTTGTATGCTGTTACCATCACATAAATAGTGTTCACGTCTAATCCAGGCAAGGTCATATCATTGTTTCTTGTACGATTTTGTTTTTGCCTAGATCCTGGCCCCCTCTCCTGCCCTTGCTTACTTAGTGTTCTGTGCTCCATTTTCCTACACATCCCCAGCCTCAATTGTAATTTCCAGCGTGGGCTGGGCATGGTGGCCCATGCCTGTAATCCCAGCGCTTTGGGAGGCTGAGACGAGTGGATCGCTTGAGCTCAGGAGTTCCAGAGTAGCCTAAGCAACATAGTGAGACCCCCATCTCTAAAAAATTAACAATTATCTGGGTGTGGTGGCTCGCCCCTGTAGTCCCAGCTACTCAGGAGGCTCAGGCTGGAGGATTGCTTGAGCCTGGGAGGTCAAGTCTGTGTTGAGCTGTGACCTCACCAGCCTGGGCAAAAGAAGACTCTGTCTCTGAAAAAATAAAAAAGAAAGGAAAAAAAAAGATAATTTCAGTGTTGTCAAACCTGTCAGTTCCTTTTTCCCCCGAGAAACTTCTTTCCTGTCTGCACTCCAGTCTGGCCTGCCGCTCGCCTGCTGGTTCCACGGACGCCATCCTGGGGCCTCCCTTTTCCTGCATCCTGGGAACCCCTTTGTCTCCCTCTGTGCTGGATCCTCTGTTCCCTTGACCCTGTGTCTTCTCCTTCCTGCTTCATCCTTTTGTTTGTTTAGCTTCCTGGGAAAGGTTGCACAGAGGGAAAAACTCCCTTGAGAAAGTGCGCGTCTGAAAACGCCTTTATTCTGTCCTTTTGTTTGATTGGTGGTTTGACTGGATATAGAATTCTAGATTGAAAATAATTTACTTTTTTTTTTTTTTTGAGATGGAGTCTTGTTTTGTTGTGCAGGCTGGAGTGCAGTGGCGTGATCTTGGCACATTGCAACCTCCTCCTCCTGGGTTCAAGAGATTTTTCTGTCTCAGCCTCCTGAGTATCTGGGATTACAGGTGTTTCCCACCATGGCTGGCTAATTTTTTGTATTTTTAGTAGAGATGGGGTTTTACCATGTTGGCCAGGCTGGTCTCAAACTCCTGACTTCAAGTGACCTGCTCGCCTTGGCCTCCCAAAGTGCTGGGATTGCAGGTGTGAGCCACTGTGCCCAGCCTAGAAAATAATTTTCTTTCAGAAGTTTGAAGGCATCTCCCATTGTCTTCTGGCTTCTGATGTCACTATTCAGAGGCTTGATGTGATTCTTATTTTTGACCTTTGTATATGCCTGTTTTCCCCTGACTTCTCGAAGCCCTCGGGGTGCTCCCTGTAACCCCAGAATTCTGAAATTGCAATGACATGCCCTTCTCTGGCTGTTTTTGTTTACCATGCTGGACATTGGGGGATTGTTTCAATCTAGAGACTTACATTCATCAGTTCTGGAAAGTGCTTTTATTTCTTTCAGATTTCTCCTTTTTACAGTTTCTTATGGTTAGATGTCCATTTCTGGAATTTATCCTTAAATGTTTTCTTCTCTCTTCTGTTGTCCATCTCTTTAGCATTTTTTGTTGTTTATTTGTTAGTTTGCTTGTTGTTCTTCTTTCTGGAGGATTTTCTCAGTCTTATTTTCATAATGTCACTGATTTTTTCTCTACTATCATATTGTTAATTTCTTTCTTTCTCTTTTTGAGACAGAGTTTCGCTTTTGTTGCCTAGGCTGGAGTGCAATGGCACAATCTCAGCTCACCACAACCTCCGCCTCCCCAGTCAAGATATCCTCCTACCTCAGCCTCCTGAGTAGCTGGGATTACAGGCATGCACCACCACGCCTGGCTAATTTTTCTTTTGTATTTTCAGTAGAGACAGGGTTTCTCATGTTGGTCAGGCTGGTCTCGAACTTCCAACCTCAGGTGATAGCCCACCTCAGCCTCCCAAAATGCTGGGATTACAGGCATGAGCCACGTCGCCCAGCCCATATTGTTAATTTCTAAGAGCTTTTTTATTTTCAGATTTATTTTTCTTTCTTTCTTTTCTTTTTTTTTTTTGAGACTAAGTCTTTCTCTGTCACCAGGCTAGAGTACAGTGGCACAATCAAAGTTCACTGCAACCTCCGCCTCTCAAGTTCAAGCAATTCTCCTGTCTCAGCCTCCCAAGTAGCTGAGACTACAGGCACCTGCCACCATGCCTGGCTAATTTTGTATTTTTAGTAGAGATGGGGTTTTACCTGTTGGTCAGGATGGTCTCAGTCTCTTGACCTTGTGATCCACCTGCCTCGGCTTCCCAAGTGCTGGGATTACAGGCGTGAGCCACTGCCCGTGGCCAGATTTATTTTTCTTTAACAAAACAAAACAAAGCATCCTGTTCTTGTTTTGTGGATGTAATATCTTCTCTCTCTGAGGATATTAGAACAAATTTGAGATTTTCTTCCCCCCTGCTCTCTGCGTTGTTTCTGTTACTGTTTTTTCCTTGTATCTCAGGCTCTGAAATAGTTTGGCACCATGACTAAACCTGTGTTTATTTAAAAATTTGGGCAGGGTACGGTGGCTCATGCCTGTAATCCTAGTACTTTGGGAGGCTCAAGGCAGGAGGATCCCTTGAGGCCAGGAGTTGGAGACCAACTGGGGCAACATAGTAAGACCTTGCCTCTATAAAAAACATAATAAACTTTTGATATTCTGTTTATCAAAATATTATTTTTGTATTCATTTTGATTTTTAAAAATATTGCATATATATATGTGTGTGTGTATATATATATATATATATTTTTTTTTTTAAGATGAAGTTTCACTCTTGTTGCCCAGGCTAGAGTGCAATGGCTTGATCTCTGCTCACTGCGGCCTCTGCCTCCTGGTTTCAAGCGATTCTCCTGCCTCAGCCGCCTTGGGTACCCGCTACCACGCACAGCTAATTTTTTGTGTTTTTAATAGAGACAAAGTTTCACTATGTTGACCAGGCTGGTCTCGAACTCCTGACCTCAGGCGATCCCCCCACTTCAGCCTCCCAAAGTGCCGGGATTACAGGCATGAGCCACCGCGGTTGGCTGAAGTATTCTCTATCTTGATTCCTGAGTTTTGGTGCCATCTTACATGTTATACCTGAGGTAGGTGCCTCCTCACCGCACCCTAGTTTGGGCTCTGAGGTGGATCTTCAGGGGACATGGCATCACTCCCTTCCCGATCTGCCCCGTCTTCCTGATCCTGCAGAACAAGGAGCAGGGCTGCGTGGTAGGATGGTGGTGTGGAAAGCCGGACGAGGAGAGGCCCCTGATTAAGGAGACACCTGGCAGCTCATCCCCGACCCCACAGCTTTGTTGGGCTATTGGCTGAATAACTGATAACCTGCTCAGGACCAGACACACAGGTCAGAAGGATCATGTCCCAGTCTGTACAAAGAGAACCTTTCAGAAAAGAGCCATGGAGGCTCAGACTTCTGGAAGCAATTGTTCGTGGGCGTTCAGAAAGAACAGTGGGGTTCATTAAGAGCCAGTATGGATTCAATAACACCAGAGCTTAAAACAACACCACACGTTCTCAGGCTCCGCCCTGGATGGACTTGTTCAGAAACACTGGAGCAAGGGATTTTGGGATTTTTTTAAAAAAATTCCCATATGTTCCTGGCAAAGTTGCAGAGATTTAAAAATGTGATTTTGATGGTCATGTAGGTGTGGGAACTTTTTTTTTTTTTTTTTTTTTTTTTGAGACGGAGCGTTGCTCCATTGCCCAGGCTGGAGTGCAATGGTGTGATTTGGCTTACTGAAGCCTCCACCTCCCGAATTCAAGTGATTCTTCTGTTTCAGCCTCCCAAGTAGCTGGGATTATAGGCACACACCATCACACTCCACTAATTTT